ATGATATATTATTTCTCAGTAGCACTTTCTGATAAGACACCCTTTATAAAGTGTTTAGAATGTGTTTAATGTATAATAATAATTTATTAATGCTTTATAGAACACTGTGTTTATTAACAACCTATTAACATTTGTGAGAAACTTGAAGTATCATAATAACTACAGAATATATAGCTCATTAGATAGGTTGATAATAAATGACCAGCCTTTATAACAGAATTATTACCAAATACAAACACTGGGTCACTTGGTAAACAACTTCTTCTTCTTTGTAAAGGCTGATAACTGTTTTATAAAGCATTAGTAAGTTCTATATTAACCTTTAATTATGCCATTAGTTACTACTTATAAACAATTTATAGATGGACTTTTTTAGTATTTGAGTCTACAGATTTTCCCCAAAACTTGGCATGTTCACATTATTTTGATTTAAATGACTGAAATTTATTAAGCCTCATAATGTGTCAGGACGAGCTTTTGATAACACTGTGTCTATTAAACTTCCAAGCCGGTGTCACTCCACATATGCCCTGACTGTTCTTTCCACCTTGATGTGTGTTTACGTGTATGTGTGTGTTAAATTCACGTGCATGGTGGATGGGAGTGCTTATGTGCAACTCATGTGTTAATGCTGTCATTTCCACAGATCAGTCACAGCAGCCTTTTCTCTGTTGTTTATGGTTATGTCACCACAATTACAAGAGAGAAAGGGGGGCTGAAATAAAGTGTCTGTGAAAGATTGATAGCTTTGGTCTTTAGTTCAATTGTAAATTAGAATAGCAAGTCCCTCCGGGATACAAGGGCTCTATTTATGATTAAGAAAGAGCCTCCATAATAGAGTGGTGGTAGAAAAGTTTGCTGCCTCTCACAAACAGGCAATTAGCTTGATGAAATGGGCCTTATTTTTTTTTTCACAGCCTGGTTATGTGAACCCATATTATTATGGGCAGCCTTATAGTTTATGGTATTATTTTCACCTTGAGCTGCAAACAATATGGTGTTTAAACAAACTGTAGCTTTTTTGTGTATTAAGTATAGTCACCACTTTTTATTGTTGTAGTTGAATTTGGGCTGCTCAGAGGTAAACAGAGGTATTTATATCATGTGATGAAGGTGGGAAGTATCACACCATTGCTAGTTTTTACACTGGCAGAGAAACTCTCAGGGGAACACAAAAAACATGGAAAATAATAGTAAACTTATTTATTTGAATTCATCTTGGCAGTTATTGGCACACCAGTGCTTCATTATAACATGCTGTATAATGATTATATATGAACTGTATATACAGAATATGTATAATGAATAATTTTTATACAAAAAACACAATTTACCATTGGTATGAACTATCAAAGCTTTGGTTTTACCTTTATGTTTCAGACAAATAACATTCACAGTATCAGTGATACAAACCTGCTATTTTAGCCGGTGTACACAATGTTTCCATCTTGCTTCAAAGTTTTCCTCTATAGAGAACCTAATCCATGCACTGTGGGCTCACTGCCATGTCAGTTATACAACCTGACTGTACAGATTTGTCCTCTACTGTATGTTTTCTGGAAGAGATCAGTCATGCCTTTTTTTAACATGCTAAGCTTTACTAGTGTTTCATTCATAGAGGAAAATTTAGTATTAGTTAACACTATAGAGCAATCTAATGAGTTGAAAAGCCATAAATCCTCTGAAATAAGTGTAAAAGGTTACTACCTTAACTATATTAGTTAATAGTTTTATGGCTGAAAAATGATCAGACTGCAGATTGTTGAAGCAACAGAATATCATTGGTTATACTATAGTGACTGAGCAAGTAAGTACTGTTCAGTGTGTTCATTAAGCTTAAATAATATGTTAAAAGTTATTACAAGCATGTTTAAGATGCTTTAATATGCTTAATGTATATACCAAGGCCAACCAGACATATTGTGGTAAACTAAGGAGTAAGCCAACTGCTGTTGCAGGGCGCAGTGCAATGCACTAATCCACAGTATCAACCTAACTACCACAAAATTACACTAAATGGACAAACTATTAGGGTTGTCCAATCTTTTCATGTACTTTCTTAATGAGGTAAATCCAGATAAAAAAAACCTTATTTATTTCCTGATTAAATCATAAAAGAAGACACTTTTAGATAAGGCAAGGCATAAGAGTTAGAGAGCAATTTTAAAGTAATAAAAGGCTGTGTTGATGACTGCTCACTACGTAGCCTACCTTGCACCTCCTACACCACTGGTTTTCTTTACTCAATAATTTTATTGGCACCTTGTTGTTTTTCCCTTCTGATAGTTTTCCTTTGCAAGCCAGATTAGGCTTCTCAATTTAAGACAACATCAGACATGTGCGGCCACCCTCTTTTTGACAGTTTTGCCCAAGGGCACACACTCCTGTGCCAGCTGTTGTCATGGAAATTACATAAGTTTGTAACATTTGTTTTTGGTACAAAAGCAGTAACATCCAGTAGCTATTCTCTTGCTAGTATTTACACTTTGCATATGTGCAGTTTCTCTATGCACAGACATCGCTCCACAGCCACCATTGTTGTTTACAGCTCTGTTTTGCCTGTCGATTGATCCACAAACAGTTGGTGAATGTGATTCACCAAAGCTGATGAGCCTCAAGTGTTTTCTATCAGTTCACCACATTGGTATTGCCTTGGATGTCAACGTCCTGTCTTTTAAGTTTTCTTTACTGGCTTTTCTTTTTTTAGTTTGTGCACTACCTGTTGAACAATGTATACTAATCATATTGTCTTAATGCAATGTGACTGTGTTGTATGAGTAGTTTATTGCTACTTAAATCCCATATACACTTCAATTTCACACAGTATTAATGTATAACAAGAGGTAAAAATAAACAGGTTTACGTCACCCTGTACAAATATTTTTAGAATTTTGTTCATTTTGTTTTAATCTGGCGCGCTATGGTTGCTCACCTGGTTGAGCAACCACCCCATGGTCAAAGCCTAAGTCCTTACCGCAGCAGTTCGATTCCAATGCACAGCAGTTTGCTGCATGTCATACCCCATCTCTCACTCTCTCTCTCCCTCTCTCTCTCTCCCCACTTTTCCTGTCTCTCTTCAGCAATAAAGGCAATAAAAAAGCCCAAAAAATCTAAGTCTAAGTCAGCTTCACATTACAGTGGTGCAATATTTTATTGACAGTGACAGTTCACATTCAGAAAATACACGTTTATCTGTAAACAATTATTGTGCTGCTGTACGGCAGGAAATACTCTCAATCCTGATTCGCTCTCCACAGCATCCCAACATGAATAACATTTTCAAAGACTGAAATTTGTTTTCATGACAAAATACTCCTCTTGGTGCCCTGGTTTGGTTGCACGGTATAAGACATGCCATTGAAATAGTGTTGTTGTTTAGAATCGAGTAAGAAATGTCACTTAGCTCAATGGTGTGGTGACATCTAGAGGTGTAGTCGCAGATTGCAACTCCCTTGCTTCACAAAATGTGCAAAAAACACAAGCGCCTCTATCTAGTGCCTGTGTTTGGTTAGTCCCTTCTGGGCTACTGTAGAAACATGGCTGTTCAACATGGCAGACGTCTGTAGATATAAAATGCTCATTCTATGGTAACAAAAACATAACGATTCCCACATTCAGTTGGTTATACACTAATAATATATTTATTCATATTATATTCCATTTCTGTCAATAGATCCTCCTAAACCTTACACACTAGACCTTTAAGATAAATACTAAGCACATCGAAATATAACTGACAAAAGTTTTGTGTAAGTTGTATATAATGATTGCTTACTCACCTTGGTAGTCAATTAGCAGGCCTTATAAACTGTAACATTACAAATACTGTTCACTCCTCCGAAGGTTTGTGAGAGCACAGTAAGTAGTCTCTTTTTCTAACCTCTGGGCACTATCACATGTCCACAAATCCCCTCTCAATTTATTGTCAGTGGAGCAAGTCTAAGATTCGACAGTGGTGACATCATCCAGACAGTATTGACTCTCATGTTGTGAGCTTTAAGCAGCTTCTGCGTATCCTCATATGGCGATAAAGTTACCAAGATCCTGTGAATAAGTGACTTCAGTTTTTTTATTTTTTTAATGGCTTTTCACCTCGAGGTCACACATGCTTTACCCTGAGAAAATCTTTTTCATTTGGAGTCATCGCTGTTGTGAAGGTCCTACCAAATCCTATTCACATTCCATTATCTTTTTATTCCCTCCATCAGTTCACAAGGACCATTGATCACATGTGGATTTGTGTGATTGAAAAACCTCAAATGGTGGTATCTGCTATTATACAATATGTTCCATTCACAAATGTTGAATCAGTACCTGTGGAAGTAGCGAAGTAGAGATGTAGTTAACATCGTCAATATTCATGGGCTGGTGGTTTTGTTCATAGTTATAAAATGTATGTCTGCAGCACTTTCACAGAAAAATGCATTCTTATTTTAAAATATTTAAGCTTGATTGATTTCTCAGCCTGCAGTCTTTAGGCTTGTAACTGGTAAAAGTCTTTAATGTAATATGCTACTGTTGTTAATACTAGTCTTAACTACAACTATGCTTTAATTTCAGGAAACCTGAGTGCTGAAATTGTGTACATTTGACCCACAGAAATATGCTGCCATTATACTATGTAGAGTGTCATATTCTTATTTTCAGTGAATGGGAAGATAAAGATGGACTGTCATGAGACTTTTAGTACCCACATGGTTAAATCTACACTGCATGTTCTTATCTGGATATCCTGCAGAATCTGTGAAGCCAAAGTCTGATTTAGCTTTAAAGAATAATTCAACAGATATGTTTTTTCACCGTTTTCATTTCATCATTTCATTTTTAACAGCATGTATCATACAGTTGTAACAAATGTTCCAGTGAAAAAGCAAGCTTTATTTACACATTTACAGTAAACTATCATGTTAAAACTGGAAACAATCAATTCTTGAAATGTAAGTAAGTGTACAACATTACAGTAGGCACTGGGTTAAGAAAATCAGTTAAAACAGCTCATATGAGATCTTAAAACTTTATTAGTCATAGATGTGGCAGGTGTAAGACTGCAATTTTCAATTATACACAGCACTACTTATTTAACTACTAACACTTGAAACAGTAATACTTTATTGGTCATCCCATAATTGTACATTGTCACAGGAAAATTCAAAATCTTCAAGAAGTAAGAAACGCGGCTATAGCTGTAAGTGTTTTCTCCTCGTAATACAATCCATGTAATTCTTTGACGTACATGGAAATAACAAAACCTATGGATACAAGGTTTTCACAGTATCAGTTTGATATAACTGGTTAATTCAATGATAATGAGACATTAATGATCACTGTAGAAAACATGGCTGTCATTTTAACTAATAAATAGTTATAGCTGAAATTTGAGAAAATAAACCATACAATCCAACATTAAATAGCTGTAATAGAAAGCTGAAGTAAGCCGCTTCTACATCCGTTTGTGTAATATATACATATCCCACACTGCTACCACATTACACCTTGTGTTACAGTAATTCAATACACCGTCTGCTGCCTTTGGGGCCACATGTGAACCATGTCTGGGCTCAGGACTGAATGCTGCCACAGCTTTCTCTCTTGTGTCTTCTCCCAAACTTTTTCACTGTCTGAGTACATGATAAAAAAACAAAACTGTGAGGCGAGTGGACTGCCCACTCTCCCTCTTAAGAAGAAAAGGGAGGGTAGGTCACACTCAAAGAGACACATCTCACAAGTGCCCAGTACAACCGCAGTCTTGTACTGCTGGTCGTTGTGCAGCTCCACTGGGACAGATGGGGTTTAAGCTGCTTTGCCGAAGGGTACTTCAGCAGTAGTTCCTGAGGGTTAGAGAGCACTTATCACACAATTCCCCTACCCAGACGTTCCCAGCAAGTCCTTAGAGTTAAACCATTGACCTTTTGGTCATTGCTGCTACAATGCTGCTGCCTCAAGCTATCATCACGCATGCTCCATCTATGCGGTCTTTAGCAGCCAAAACAACACATCATTTATAATTTCTCATATTGTCTCTCCATACTGCAGTTTTGATCACTTTAACAGCCGCAATTCAAACAACCAGCATTTACAAATACATTAAGAGCATGCTGGCAGTCAGCCTAAAGAGTGATCATTGAGACAAATTGATCCCTATCTGTTTAAATTGGCACTATAATCTATCATTGGCAAATTGAACACACTGAGCTATCAGGGATCTATTGCCTTTTTAGATAGCGGCCCTTGGGGCACGCAGACACAGAGAAAGTGATCTACACCACTGAATGAACAGTTTATAAAATGGTCTCAACTAAGACATATATGTCTGCTTATACGAAAGCACACTTTCACAAAAAAGTGGATATTATACAACTATTCACTATCACAATGCATATACATGCCTCTGTGTAGCTTACATGTGCATGCATACAATCATATGCTTACACACACACGCATGTTTATCATAGGAGGGTGTTAATTGGGATGATAGAATGCAATTATTTGTAATTACATATTATTAAAAAGTCAGAAACATGATTTAAAGGACAAGTTATACTTTTGTTATTAAAGTCGGTAAAAGCCGTGCTTACGAAGCAACCATGTAGAAAGAAAGTGAGTCAAATCAAAAGAAACTATATGGAATACATACACACACACAGCATACACTATCAGGATTAAAGCCATATGTAAAACATTTGAGATAATAATTGTATGCCCACACAATTATTAAATCTTTTACATCATGACAATTCTAATGTTAAAATATCCTGATAAAGAATATGTTGCTTCTATTTCTCCCTGTGATTATCTCTCTACAGTAACTTGTTGAAACTTTAATTATGTTTTGTCAGCAAATATTCTTTACCTTAATGAAGCCAAATGTACAAGCAGATATTGACTAATTGGTGTAGTTTTCTTTGCACATAGCAACATCACAACATCACAATGAAGCACTGCTATAAAGAGACAAGAGATAAAACCTTTACTAGAGGGGTCTGATTGATATTATGCAATGCAGCAGATAAAAATGCATGACATATGGGGCACAAGCACCATCAATCAAGTGATCTTTATCTGGCAGGAAGAAACAATTTGTGGGTGTTTTAAGGAGAGTTTTGAATATTAAAAGTATGCTGAAAATGTTTTATACTAGAAACAGCTGGAACCTGTTGTCTGTTAACAAGTTGTTTTCTTATCAAGAATTAATTTCACTGATTTTGATATTTTCAAATTATATATATAAAAAAGAAAAAATCTTCATTGTGTCTTTCTTTAAGTGTGACAATTAAGTTTCTGTCCTGATTCAGAAAGAGTCATCTAATTCAATAAGACTCTTGAAGTTGATTAGCCTGGTTAACATTTGCTCCTGCGCGGGTCTTGAAGGGTTAATCAGGCCGGGAACTTGGAGACCTCCGGGTCAGTATCACTCTATCTGCATGAGGGACTTAGTGAAGGCACAGATAAGATGAAAGTCAACTTTTAGGCCAGTTTTGCCTTTTTTAAACGGGTGTGAGAGCGGTCTTGCAGTCAGCTGGACAATCTTTTTTTTTTTAACTGCGATTTACATGCAGCAATTCCCGCTGACAGTGGTGTAGTTTCAGTCAACAATCTGTTGACTTGAACCTGTTTTGACCAATGCGCGCATGTTTACATATGCGCACAATTGCCAATCGCAGTGCGCGTGTCAGTTTTAACCTGATACACGAGTGAGAGCTTTTCCTTTGCACGCCCGTATATCTCAACTATTACTCACTATCGATTAATTTAACTGCACTTATCCCAATCAGCACATCTCCACTCCTGTGTTCCAGAGCGTGTGCTTTGTTTTACTAACAATAATAAAGTGATTTAGTCCTTTCTCCCAGCCGGAGCATGGGAAATCGTTAAAGATCCAGCTATTTGTGTGTGATCAGTAAATATTTAGTGCAGGCGACATCCTCTGTCTCGTCTTAATCGATACTGGTCCCGTTGGGCAGCGCTATTGTTGTGTGCTTGCAGGCTTGCTGAGCATATAGTGCTTTTATCCTCCGCTTGAAGGGAGAACAACCACTAATCACACAGAGGAAACTTTTAAACCCGGGAAATAAAAACTGCAGCACAAGACTTTTAGGGGGGTTTAATAGCAAATCAATTGTGTTGGTGTGTACAAAAAAGGTGCTAAATTTTTCAACCCAGTATAGATTTACGCGAGGTTAATTGAGGATATTATCATTTCTTATAGAGCCCTATTTATTCTCTGCATAGTGTATAATTACTAGAGGTGTAACTGTAAAAAAAAGCAGATATTATTGATTACTTAGACGCTTGTGTATAATAATTTATATTATATTTATTAATATTAGATTAATTAAATATAAATATAATAGTAATAATAATAATAATAATAATAATAATAATATCACAATAGTCACTGCTGTTTTATAGGCTCCAGTTAAGCATAGGCTACTAGATGTTTAATTTACAATAAAATTACAATTTTGGTATTTTTAATTAAAGCTCTAATCACAGGTCTTATTGCATCTTTACTTCCAATCTCCTTATAATTTCTAATAAGCAGAATCTCATAATGCATGCTCGCCTCACTTAAAGACAGGTGTCTGTTCTGACTTCACCCCCTCCCTCTCTCCTCAGTAGCCCACACAAAGCAGCGGCGTACAAGCGCGTTTTGGCCATATTACTGTAGGAGAGAAAAGGCGAACAGGATCTCTGCTTGCTGTAAAGCCTACTTATCATTTCCACCGGCAGTCAAATGGTATTCTGCTCGGACGGCACGTCAACTTATATTTCCAATTTCTCGCCTCAACAACACATAACGTGAATCAGTTGTTTGCTTCGGCTCTCCAAAGTTTTTGCATGATCAGACATTTGCAATTTTCCAATAAAACAGCGTGCTTTTTTTTGTGTTTGATCCCGTCTGTTGGAGAGGACGCTTTGCCAGTTTCAATCTGAGCACTGTGTCGAAAAAGAGAAGACTAAATATATTCTGAATAAGAGAGAGAAGATGCATCCCGCTACGGACGAATCAGCAACAACATATGCATTTGGTAGGTTTGTTTCTATAAGAATACAACCTCCTGCCTCACTCTCACTATCAGATCACTTTATGAATGGGTATTTGGAAACTAGTTGGGCTTACTGTGATCATCATATAATTTATCACTTGATAATAAGCGAGGATGACTGACAGAGTCGCGTATGCAATGCGCACTGTGGAAATATCGTATATGTACGTTTCTATGTGCTCTGCTGCAGCAGTCCGTGTCTTTTATTTCAACCGATACGCCTGTCCGCTTCTTTACACAATATTTAATTTAGCGCAGACGAATAAAGGAATGATACTTTACCGATTTATCCTAATACAGTGTTCAAAAATGTATACTTACCATTTGAAGCAAAGCTGGATCCTCGGTAAGTGGATACCTTGCGGTGTATTTTTATTTACAGACTCTCCATGTTCACCGGATCTGTAAATAAAACCGACAAAATAGTCATGCAGACAAAATATAATTGGCTCATTTGTTTTAGAATAAAGACATAATTGGTCTAAATACCACCGCTGGGGACTGTCTGAAGTGGCAAAAAAGTAAATCCAACTTTGGCAACTCTCAAAGCTTTGCCGTCCAAGTCATGTAAAACAGAATTTAAACAAACAGTCATCAGTTTAAAATGGTGCTCGTTAGTTTGGTCGATGCGGGAGACGAGACTGAAGCAGTTTCCGTGTCGGATGGCTCCTCTAAATTGAATCTTATTTGAAGCGAGAACTTCATACGCTAGGGGGCACCCATATACTGTAATACATCCTGGGACAATGCATGCTGCTGCTGCTGCTCTCCCTGCACACTAACACCCAGCTCCACGGTGCTTTATGTTCATCTGTATGTCTCCGTGAAGTTTTACCTGCAGTTCAAGTTTGATAGCCCGTGGGCATAAAGTAAATCAGTCGTTACCGCTGTTTTAAATACAAGCTTAAAATAATGATTAACCATGTAGACAGCAGCTCGGAACAACCACTGACCCCGTTTTACATGCACGGCATCCTTCATTGTGTTTGTCATTATCACAAAGTGTAGATTATCTTTATTGTAGGGCAACATCTGACAGACATTACGAGGTATCCAAATAACCACAAACAGCTTTTTATAGTGTTGTTTATCAGGAAATGGCTTCCATCCTAACCTTAATGTGAAGGGCATGGCCTTTAACCTCAAGTGACATTTTTAAAAGTAGTCCACACGTTTAAAGCTATAGTCATTTCACGTTTTTGACCACATAAAAATGCAAAACTTTGGACTTTCGAGACCCAGATTTGGCCTTTTCTGACCTGGTGGGCTGTAGGAATATTTGTGGCCAGAGGGATTAGCAGGCTACAGCGGGAGCCCAGATGATGTCAGTAGCCTATCATAACATTTTTATAAGAGGTGTGGATTGTGATGAATGGTACCTGGTGTGATGAGAAGCACTAATGGCTATATCAGCCTGTACGGATGTAGGAACCGTGGACTTCATTTACAGAATAACGTAGAAATTCAAACGAAATGGCATTATTGTTGTCTTGTTCACCTGGTGGGTGACCCTGTGTACATATGCATGGACCAAATGAGTCTCCACGTGCTTATTTAGTATCATACAGAGTGCCTTATTTTGTCTTTGTCTTGTGTGTGTGTGTGTGTGTGTGTGTGTGTGTGTGTGTGTGTGTGTGTGTGGTGTTTTTTCCTCCCAAATATGTACTCTCTTTATATCCACATACCTAAAGGATTAAGATAAGGGCACAATAGATAGACACTTTTATTGTAATGAGCACAGATCATGTCCAGAAGGTGCACCTGTGTATCGGGGACAAACATTTTCTTTGGGTTTCTCAGCTTGTTGCGGGGCTTGCGGGATACACTGCAGCGCGATATGAGGCAAAGAACTGAATTGAGATTTTTTTTTGCTTTTTCTTCCTGAAATTGCTAAGGCTTTTTGCCGGGCGTGCATATGAGAATAGCCTATAGTCTGGGCGAATAGAGGGACTAGAAAACGATTCCTCTTTCCCGAAACACGTCTCCTTTTAGGACCAAGCGGCCCTCTCGACCTCCATGCTGGCTCTGGCAAGGTACCAAGTAGCACAAGTGCCGACTAGCCAATGGGGTTCAGGGGGAGGTCCCTGAGCTCTGACCAGTCAAACACACTCTCCTTCCTTATATGGCAGCTGATCTCCATGGTAACGTGTGCTAAGTTGCAGCAGTCGTGTCAAAGTTCACTATATAGAGAGCTCAGTGAGCTGATCAGAGAGAAAGCATTCTGCCAGCCCGGCTCCTACCAATCGCAAATCACTTCCTAACCTCCGCCTTTTTAACATATTTGATCACTTTGATTCTCTACTCCTTTTTCCTATTATTTTTCAGTCCACGGAGGAGGTTTGTAGGTTGTGATCTTTGTTTTTTTGTTTTTTGTTTTAGTGCTTTCGCTTTTTTGGGGGGAGAGTTGTCTTCGTATCCCAGGCTCTCAAAACATTGGCTTCAGCTGCGCGCTCGCTTGGCGCTACCTCATAGGAAGAAAAGGAAGAAGACGCATTTTTTTTTACCCAGTTGGTGATTTTCTTCAAGACTTGTGCTGGAACTTGATAGTAGCTGCTACAGTGTGTGCTCACCAATTGTTTTGTATGCTGCTGCAGGCACGGTCTTAACCAAACCTGCTCCATCATCCACTGAACAGTCCATGCTACCTCGGTTGATTATTTCAATATTTAGACTACCTTTCCCATTGATGGGTGTACTGGATGGCTGACTGTAAGCGCCCCTGGACTTGGCCTTTAAGCGCAAGGCAGCGACTCAGCTCGCCATCGCATCAGTTTTGAAAACGTGCTTCGCAACGTCTCCAACAGCAATAAATCGACAGTTTTTCGGGAGATCCAGAGTGGATTCAACGTAGGCTAGATTTGACATTTTGTGTGTCCGGCTGTTAATCACAGTTTACCGCGTTTCCTTGAGACATTATTCACCGCGACACCAAAACGGCAGACAAAAAGTTTCTTTACGTTGACTGATAGATATGGCAATGGTAGTGTGGAGAGGCTCCCAGGACGATGTGGCTGACACCCAAGGCACCCTTTCCTCGCAAACCCAAGGAGGACTATCTCTTCCCACCCCTCAACCAGGCCAGTTGAATCTGACAGCCTCTCAGGTCGCCCCTCCGACCCCTCAGACTCCGGTCCAAGGACCCCCGAACAACACACAGTCCACGCCGACGAACCAGACGACGCAGCAGTCGGAGAAACAGCCACAGCACATTGAATGTGTGGTCTGTGGGGATAAATCTAGTGGCAAACACTATGGCCAGTTTACTTGCGAGGGCTGCAAAAGCTTCTTCAAACGGAGCGTACGACGGAACCTCACTTACACATGCCGTGCCAACAGGAATTGTCCAATCGACCAACACCACCGCAATCAGTGTCAGTACTGCCGCCTCAAAAAATGCCTCAAAGTCGGCATGAGACGGGAAGGTATTGGGACTTTTTGTTTTATCATCCATGTATGTGTGTGTGTGTATGTGTGTGTCTGTGTGTGCGCGTTTCTAGGCTTTCCAGACATGAAACCATGTTATGTCGCCCCCATAGCCCGTTCTCTCTGTCTCCCGACTGTTCTCCTCCAAGGCTGTGCGGCTGGAGCACGCCATGGAGCCGCTCTCTGCTGTGGACGAGACGGGGCTCGCCAGAGCTTCCTTTTAGCGTTGCATTATAATACCCAGCTCCGGCGCATTATAGCTGTGCATTTCACAAATAAGATCCGAGTCCTTGGCCAGGCTTGGGCTATCGAATTTATATTTAGATGAAGCCACGAGCGTAGAGATACATCTGTATTGAATAGATGATACAATATAGCCTGCGCTATTATGGCGAGTATCGAATTAAGAGATAGCGTGTTCAGGCTACATCTCCACATCTACCCTGCAATGTCTCGCTCAGTGTGTCTAAAACCGGACATCAGCTTGAATTATGCATACAAAGCCTCCCTATAACCGCAAGAATTTATTTGAATCTTAGTCGAAAATAGGCCTGCATGTATGGTAAAGCGAGATGAATTGCTAAGTAGGTTAAGGGTTAAACATGCAAGGTCTCCCTTGCCCTCTTTGTGTTCCTTCACAGCCAGCTCATGTTGCTGTTGCTGAATAACATCATTTTAAAGCTAGACATATGCATGGCTTGTGTAAAACGTGTTTAAAGCGCATCTCTGGTGTTTCAGTCCAGGATTAGTCTCCCTACAGCCTCATTAATATCAGTGCAACCTGTCTTTTTTAAACTCCTATGCAATAACATAATATGTGTGAGTGTATGTGTGTGTGTGTGTGTGTGTGTGTGTGTGTGTATGTGTGTGTGTTGATATTATATAGCAAACATGCTGTGTGTCATTAATTTTCTGAAGGTGTGAGATTTTGATTCTGTTTTTTTCCTTGCACTTGTAAAATGTATAATATTTGACAGCAGCCTTCATGCTCAGTGATTGTGTGATTATTTGTAGAATTCAGGCTTCAATATCTGTAGTTTCTCTTTTTACTGCAGCCGTGCAAAGGGGACGGGTGCCACCCACACAGCCACACCATGGTCAGTTCGCCTTGACAAATGGAGACCCACTGCACTGCCATTCCTACTTATCCGGATATATCTCGCTTCTGTTGAGAGCGGAGCCCTACCCGACGTCCCGGTATGGCAGTCAATGCATGCAGCCCAACAACATAATGGGCATCGAGAACATTTGTGAACTAGCAGCCAGGATGCTCTTCAGCGCCGTGGAGTGGGCCAGGAATATTCCCTTCTTTCCAGACCTTCAGATCACCGACCAGGTGGCTCTGCTGAGGTTGACGTGGAGTGAGTTATTTGTGCTCAACGCCGCGCAGTGCTCCATGCCCCTGCATGTGGCTCCTCTCCTGGCGGCGGCTGGCCTTCACGCCTCCCCCATGTCTGCGGACAGAGTGGTGGCCTTTATGGACCACATTAGGATCTTCCAAGAACAAGTGGAAAAGCTCAAAGCTTTGCACGTTGACTCTGCTGAATATAGCTGCTTAAAGGCAATTGTGCTCTTCACCACAGGTAAGACAATAGACGGGCACACTCCAAATTCAGCCTGTATGAATGTCACTAACATGCACACTGCACACATCATGGTAAATCAACGTTGACCTAAATATATATATCTGCACTGGCTACAGGTTTTTGCTTGTCTTAGATAAACACCCTGCCTAAATGTTCACCTCTACTGCCTTCATGCTCAAGGGCTTTTTCTATAGGCTTTATCCTACTGAAGTATAAAAAAGAACCACTTGGTTAATCAAGTGGTGTATCACACACACATACACACACACACAGCAAATCGTGGCTTGACCACGCAAGATATTTTTTAATTAATAATTTCAATTAAAATTGACAACAAAACAGAGGAAATTGACTGAAACCTGACAATATAATCCCGAGTTAAATAAGACTGATAACCTCGCAAGAATTGCCTTAAGCGTAATAAAAATCTAGCTGTAAATACACTTTTGGAGAATCCAATAAGTTGCAGATGAATTGCTCCACTTTGATTTTTTTTTTAATTTTCCGCCATTTATCAATGTGTGTATACTCCACGTCTTGATTGACAGATATAAATGATGTCAGGCTCCGAGGGGGAGGGGAATAGAAAAAGAAAGACAAGCCTAATGTCCCATTTGCACACAGTAAAAGCAAAGCGCAGGTTTCAACGCTCTCTTGTCATTTAGGAGGACAGACACGTCCGAGAAAAAGCATGTAGAAACCGTGCACGCCCTGTAATAGAAAATATGTCAGT